ATCATTGGGGCCCAGGAAGCTACAAACCACACCCACCTGACCACAGACTCCTCCCACTTCTTGTCAGACCACTCACCGCTGCCGTCTGACAACTCCCACCTCCACTCCTCCATCTCCTCTTACTTTGGAGTAGCGGGTAGGCTAACCAATGGCGAGCGCTACCAGGTGTTGGCTCGCCGCATCACCCCTCAGGGGACGGTCCAGTACTTGCTGGAGTGGGAGGGGACGACCCCTTATTAGGACGTTATCAAGGTCCAGGTGGTGTTAGAAGCTTTGATTCCTTTTCCTCTACACTTGCTGCTGGTGAGCTGCTTATTGGTTGAAACCTGAACTGACACTGTGGCGCCGCAACCACCTGGTCTCCCCGTGTCCCCGTTAAACCACCTGGTCTCCCCGTGTCCCCGTTAAACCAGCGGGCTCTCTGTGTCCCCGTTAAACATGAGGGCTCCCCGTGTCCCCATTAAACCAGCTGGTGTCCCCGTTAAACCACCTTGGCTGTATATCCCCAGCTGGCTGGTGAGTTTTGAGGAATCAGGAATCAAAGCTGAACTCGATCCTGGAAAAAATAGTTTTTAGTAGTAAAAATTGTTTAAATGCAGCCAAAGAGACACACAGAGCTCCCGCCTGACTCCTCCCACCTCCACCATGTTTGCAGCCTCACACACTGATTAGTTGTTTTCCTGGTTGTAATGATGTCACACTGGTGGAGTTCTTCTTTTGCTCTGATTTGTACAACACTCAGAGTTGCCCATGCAGCGCCCCCTGGCTGTCAGACAGCACCCTCCCTCTCTTGCCCCCTCCCTCCCCTGAAGTTTTCATGTTGTGTACCTGAAGCACTTAGTCACATGTTTACCTGCCCCTTCCTCACCTGTGCAGTGTTCTCACTCTATCACATGATCTCACCTGCGGAGCATCCCATTCGTCGTCTATGCAAACACCAAAGTGCGCCTGCTGGTGATCAATCTGAGCCACCGATCAGTGTTTCTCCTAGCTTGAAGCTAACGCAGCCCATATTTGTGAATGAGGGATGCTAATAGTGCTAACAGTCTCTGAGACGTTAAACTGGCACTCTGTCACTTTAAGATATGCTCTGCTCCTATTGGCCTGTTAAATGCTTGTTTTGATCATGTGACTGTTTGCTGTTTTCCTCTCCAGCTGACCAATCAGCTGCCAGCTTTCTCTGGATTAAAACAAATGTTTTCTGACCTTTTGACCTCTCTGTGTTTCTGTGTGTGTCTGAGAAGCAGAGATGCGTGCAAACCTGTGTTTGTGAAAACCTGTGAGTGTTGCAGTCAGTCTACACCTGGCTCTAGGTCTACCTTTATGGGTCCAGATTTACAGGGACGTGGGGAGTCCTCACAGAGGCAGGTATACAGGTGTGTGTGTGTGAGACTAGTGCAGGTAATCTGATAATCCAGTTAAGGTGTTAAAAGGCAGAGAAAGCTGCATGAGTGTTCAGGTGCATCTGTGTCGTCGTCCTGAGGGTCCCAGCACTCACACAGGTATTCAGACAGACGGGTAACGTGGCGATGTGACAGATTCACAGCAGAGGAGACCACCTGCATCTACCTGTAAGCTTCTTCACCTGTCCATACTTTGTGTTTGTGTACCTGCTCTCTGTGTTTCTTTATGCCTGCCTGAGGTCAGACATGAGGTCCAGCTCGTGTTTTCCCTTAAAGCAGGGACCTGATTTAAAGCAGCACAGTCTAATGGAGCTCAGGAAGGTTCCTCACTGAGAGATGTATCTGGTGGCCATAACCAGAGCTGTTCCAGTTCTCCAAACACTACGCAAAGGAACTTCCCTTAGCAGAGCATCCTTTATGAACGGGGAGAAGAAAATTCCGTCCCATAATTCATAGCAGCGGACCATCTGACCATTCATGAAAACATCAACCTAATCAACGTGGAGGAGATCGTGTAAATGTTCTAGCTGCATTTTCCATCTCATCCTGAGCTTTCATTAGACAGGTTTCAGTGCCACGTATAACAAAGTACTTCAGAATTTAAAGAGCTGAACTAAACAAAGCAGGACGTTGTATCTTTTACTCATTGCACCTGTGGGAGGGGCTCAGGTAGCTCGCCTGGTCAGCAGTAATGAAAAGTTTAACGCTCTGACTCTGGAGTTGGGCAGCTTCAGGTGCTGGGCGCATCAAACGTAGCACAGAGGGGCTCTGTGCTTCCAAACGTTGGCCAATGAAGGACAGGACCAGTACATACGAAGTAATGTACCAGGAGCGCCCCCTACAGGCTGGGTCCACCTCTGGGTGCATACGCTCCAGCCGAACCCTGGATCAATGCACCCGATGATCTTAAACGAGTGAGTCGAGCACACATCGATATATTGTGACCTTAGAGTCCCACAGGTCATCTGTGATATGAAAGTTATGTCTTGTTCCCATTTAGATTTGATGGCAGCTACTGAAGAACATTGTGAGTGGGAGATTAGATTGTACAAAGATGATATTATGCCCCTGCAGGTTGGACTGACCGTTAAAATATCATCTACTGCAGGGGAGCAAACCTCGAGGCACACTTTAGGTCGCGGGCCAAACAAGATAAACATTTATTGAACACTAAAACAATGTTTTGTAAACATAAATATGAATACAGACAGGAATATAATTCCAGAATAAATAAACTTTAAATATTTTGCTCTCCATAAAAATATATCCTGTCACAATTATGCAAGTTAGAAATATGAACATGCTGCCAAAACCCCAGAAAAAATAAATGAAAGCAAACAGAAGGTTGGAGCCGCATGTAGGCGGAGCTGGGCGTTGCTGCAGGAGTGGAGCTAATAAACTGCGGGCCCTTCAGTGTCGTACTTTCCCTGAGTGCATCGTTACACTGCAGCTCCATCTGAATCTGCACAGGTGCAGTTTCCACGTTGGGTTGTGAAGCAGCTCGAAATTCTCTTTTTGTGCTTCAACGTCACCAAAGCGCCACGAACTCAGTGCGCTCAGTTTATCAGCAAAGTGCGCATTTGGGACACTGTTGCACTGATTGGCTCAACATTACTGCAACAGGGAAAGTGAGGCAGGCTGCACTGGTGCATTTGTGACAGCTTCACTGGAAACGCCTTCATCACACATGTCCATGAACTGACAGGTTTCCTTGCTGAGCTCAAAAACTCTGTTGAGAACTTTTCCCCAACTCAGCCAGCGGACCTCTGTGTGATGAGGAATGTCGGCAAACTGAATCTATTTCCCACATAAAAGACTGAAACTGACGGTGATTTAAACTTTTAGCTCAGATAAAATTCACGGTCTGCGTTACGGTGATCAACATGCTCCATGTTTAGGACTTTACCACACAGCCTTTCCTGGTGTGTGATGCAGTGATGTTAACTCACCGGTACAGTTCTCCTCCTGCATCTTTACTCGCATCCTGCTGAGTCTGCTTTTTTCACCGCACAGCACCGGCGCTCCATCTGTTGTAAGTCCAACAAGTTTGTCCCAGGACAGATTCATGTCGTTACACTTTGACATACGTTTCTATTCAGGCTCACATTTGCCAAACTCTGCGTTTTGTCTGGACACACGACGTCGCACAGCTTCATCCTGCAGCTCTTCAGAGTGGTACCAGCTGATTTGGCTCCTCTGCTACAATAAAACTTTCACAACAGCTTCACTTTGTGATTTTGCTCTGGTGACAAACGTCTGCTGAAATGTCAGATTCTTCTTTAGTTCTTCTACTTCCTGTAGTTTCTGCGTTTAGGTTTTTCAGCTTATCCTGACGTTTTGTCTCGTAGTGCCTTTTAAATTAAATTCCTTCATTACAGCCACATTAGCTCCATTAATAAGACACACGGGTTTACCAGCATGTCTGTAAACATATATTCAGCCTCCCACCGGTGCTGAAAGGCTCTGTTTTCAGAATTAACTTTTCTCTTCGCCATTGTGAGTGGCGAGCTTCGCAATAGAGATTGACAGACCACGTGACTTTCGTGCGTTGCATTGTGGGTACGAGTGGCAACAAAATCAAAACACTGCATCAAGCGCCAGCATTTCCAGCACCGCTAATCTTAATTCTGCAGTTTTAATCCCCACTTGCATTTTATTTGCCCCAAAAACAGTTCTGTACAAAACCACGGTGACCACGGCAGCTCCGCACGAAGACAGACGTGACGAAGAGGCAAAAAAAGGACGAGGAACAAATCAAAGGAGTGAAAGGGTCAGACCCACACGAGCACAGAGTGGAGTAAGGACGTTAGCGTGCTGCCCGACTTTCATCACGCACATATTTATTATTATATGGTCCTGAGTGTGAGTGCACACACTCACAACATGTTTATTAACGTCAGATCCTGCAACAAGCCCAGCTCCAGTTTACTTTGGTGATTTGGACGATTCCCTCTCACAGCTGCTGTTACAGGCCAACGCATCTGTTTGTCGTTTCAGGTTGTAGTGTTACACAACATTTTCAGATCTAATAGAAATAAATGAGTTTCATAATTCATTCAATTATTGTCTTTATTTATAACTGGCATCATTGTTTCATTCTGTTAGAGAATCTTAAGAGGCAACATTGTATCAGCTTTATTAGCTGCGTCGGTGAAAAACAAATCAACAATGCAACAAAACAACAACAACATTGCAAAACAACATACTGGAAAACAGTTATTCATCACTTGCTTCAGTACAACACTCGGGCACATATATGCAGACGTGGCTGTTTTGATATCACTCTCTGTCTTAACCAATCAAATCTCGCTGTGGTAGCAGCTTTAAACCCATGTTGATAGAGGGCCCAGTCTGGATCACATTTTTCCTACAAAACACAACAAACATTAATACGGTTTGAAAAATTTCTCTTCCACGACGTAATCCGATAACAACCGATCTCTTTACCGTCGGCTTCCCGTGGCTGTCATGCGACCAACTATTGCAGTTAATAATACGACAGCTTTTTTTTGTGTTCTTTTTATCGCTGTGTGACTGTTTTCATGTGAAAGCCTGCGTGTGCTAGTACCGCTTGCCACCAGAGATGGGCAGTAACGCGTTACTGTAATCCGATTAGTTTTTTCAAGTAACGAGTAAAGTAAGGGATTACTATTGCAAAAACGGTAATTAGATTACCGTTACTTTCCCGTAGGAACGC